ATGAAGAAAAGGAGACCTCTGAATGGTGACACAGAGTATAAATATGACAAAGGAAACGGCATGGGAACCAGCTAAAGCCATGAGGACCAAGATCAAGGACACCTCTACACCCAGGAGAGGAATCTCTGGGCACCAGTTTGGTACCCTGGACTGGTTCGTAATGAAATTTACAGTTAATCAGGGACAAGAGAGAAGTAAGATGCCCCTACTAAGAAAGGCAATGGCCCTTCCTGGATGATCCTTTAATTGTATAGGTTCTCCCAGCACATCCATCACCACATCTCTGAGGACATGCACTACGTGCCATAGTTAAGCACCTACGCTCTACAGCAGAGTGAGAACCTAGTCCTGACAAACATTTCATCCATCCTCATTTGCCAGCACGTTCATTTCCATTTGAGCCATACTGAAAAATAAGAATCAGGAATTTTCCTATTTTGGTCTTGGGAGGGGTGTGCTTTTGAAAATGTTTTTGAAATTTCATTTTCAGTTGCTGAGTTGTAATAGTGATGGAAGTGAGGGGCACTCAAACAACAGACCGGATGGATGGCAGGAACCAGCTCACTTCAGCATCGCAGAAAACATGAGACTCATCTGTAGTCATCTACAAGGCAGGCCCATAGTTTCAGTTCCTTGTCTACATTCCTCCATCGGCCCATGAAGACAGGCGCTTCCCAAAGGCAGCTTATCCCATCATAAAGGGAGGATGAATTCTACTTAGGAAAAGGAGAATAAACTGCCCACTGAAACCAGGAGCCTATGCAAGTAACATCACTTGATGTCTCATCTGGAGATGGCTGGAGTGCTAAGAGGTGACATTTAGCTCAAGTCTGATGTTCATATTTGCTTGATGAGATTTTGAGAACCAGATCCTTGTAATGTTATTTACCTGATGAAACCTATTTTTTCTTTATTTTGCCGAAAGCTCTATTTCAGGTAGATGTGACAAGTCTCACAGCCTCATGAAAGTATGAAATTCACACATCTCAGCAGGCATAACAGCAGTTTTCCTCACTCACCAACATGCTTTGATGCCAAATGAAATAAACCCAGTTCCTAAACCATTTTCCATAACTCACCTCTAAGGAGCAGCCGCAATAGAAACGGCATCGAAGTCAGCAGCACCTGGTTCCTGATGTGCCCAGGAAAAGGCGACTGTTTTTGCAAAGGAGTCATAGAAAAACACCTCGCACAGAAAAACAAT